TTAGATATAGAGTACAGATTAAGAACAATCGGAGCGTAAAAAGATGCTTAATGCAGCTTAGGGACGGGACGAGAGTGACGAGTCGAGTTTCCTTTTTCTTTTTTTTTCATTTTTTATCTAAATTTTTTCTTTTTTTTTAGTTTACTCGGATGATCGGTGCGATTTCGACGGCGGGCAGAGAAGAACATAAAAAGGTATACAACGAAAATGAGTATGGGGCGAGAAAACGACAATAAAGAGAACGGTGGTACCGAGCATGCAGAAATTTCATTAACAGCAAGATATCGATAACCTCTGTGTATGCGCGCGCACGCGCGTTCGCACGAGCGCACGCGCGTGTGTGTCGTGTGCATATACTTTATTTTTAATTTCTTGTTAATTTTCTATTCGCTCTCGAATATTCGATGCCCATTATGTAACAATTACCATGGCCATAACGAGCCGGGATCGAGGCAAATTTTCCTTCGACAATCAAATTTATTTCTCATCTTTTACCCGCGCGAATTTTCAAAATTTTTCGTGTGTACTTGATTAAACCATGATAACACCACTAGTGGGCAATATTTCTACTATTTGTGAGACGTGATCGTGTCTATCAAAGTCTGCGTGAAATTAGTAGCATTAGTCGTTCTTTTCCTTTTATAAGTCGAATTCCTGTGAAACACGTTATTTTGTTCGTTCTTTTTTTGTGCATTTTTAAGCTCTGACTTGGAAATCAAAAGATATAGACATAACAAGAATATACATACAAGTGCATAGTGGCTATCGGAGATAAGGGTAGAATGGAAAAGAGTAGAGGAATAGATGTTGATTAGAATGTAATTATAGGGTGATACTAGTAAAACGAGACAGCACATCGAAGCAGCAGTCAGAGTGATAAAAATTGGCGGTAGGAAAATAGAAGTAAAAAAGAGGTAAAGATGAAAAATTAATAAGAACAAAAGTAAGATAAAGTGATTAATCGTAGATCAATTTCTTTTACAGAAAAAAGATTAGAAACGATTATCGAAAGAAGAATGATAATGTAAGTGACTCATATGAAACCACCATAGTTATTACAATGACGGCGAAGACGACGACGACGACGACGACGACGACGACGACGACGACGACGGAATCGTTGTATACACACACACACACACACACACACACACACACACACACACACACACACATATATATATACATACGTATAGCCATATATATATATATATATATGTGCGCGCGTGTGTATGTGTGTGTGTGTGTGTACCGTTTATAGATGTCCATAAGAATAGCGCGTCTTTACAACTGGCAGTGTAAGGCATAGAGTGCTTAAAGACTAGAATACGGTGCATGTAAATAGGCCTTTTAAAGCCTTTTCTTTTTTATTCTTCCTTTCGAAAATAAGTCCTATGTTTTTCGACCGGACCTACGAAAAAATCTGTCCGCGTGAACGTAACGACGAATTAACGATCTCTCGTGATTTAAGCGAGCACAAAAATGAAATCAGCCGATCGTCGTTCTCCATATAAGGAGAAAATCCCATCGTTTACCTTTCTTTCGTATTTCGCGCGTTCATTTCCCCTTGTACACATTTTTAGATCAGCGCGCGCGAACACACACGCACACACGCGAGGACGCACGCACGCACGCACGCGCACACACCCGGAATGAATTTTAGAAAGCTACATATGCACATTTCAAACGTATGTATATATGTGCACACATACACGCGCATGCACACGTACGCACATACATGCATACATATACATATGTACATTTACGTATATATAAATATATGTACACACACACACACACGCACGCACGCACGCACGCACGCAGTCACACACACGCACACACGCGCACACACACACACACACATATATATATACATGCAAACATAAACATATACACGTTCACCCACCCACACACATATATACATACATACGTATGTGTATATATATACATATATATCTATATATATCTATATATTAGCTACTGACTTCATGGAGACTTGGTAAACACGCGTCACGCTTTTTGTTTCTATTCTCATTTTTTTTCTTTTTTTTTTTTTTTTATTTGGCAGCGGTTCCCATATATAATTTCTTTTTTCGTTTCATTAAAAACGTACAATATATTATACTCGGCTAGAAGTAATACTTATTTACCGGTATTGCGATAATAATTGGGATCCGGTGACATGAATACTGGTTTCTTCAACATAAAAGGCCTGTTCTTCTAGCGACGTACACGATTATCGATTCGTGCTGTCCAACATCGCGAACACAAACGATCAGCATCGAACAGTGAAGGTGTATCGATATATCGATCAAAATCTCGATCGACGGTTGACACGCGTGCTTTGTTGTCGATGGAAATCGATAGGTCCTGAGAATAATTACAGTATAGTCACGCGAAGTAGTGTGAAAAAATTGTAAAAGTAAAAGAAAGGGTGAAGAAAAACAAAGGAAAAAATGAACGAAAATAAAACATAAGTTGGATTCGCGATGAGACTCAAAACTGCATAGGCAGACACGTGTTTTTCCTTTTTATATAATATAGGTCGGTTCGGTAAGCAGAGAACACAAAAGAAGGTGTCTCATCGAAAAAAATGTGTTTTATGGTTTTTTGGGTAGATCGTAACTATATATTTATTACTAAAAGTACATGCGGGTTTCGTACCGTGGCGTGATTAACGTCTTTACTATCAGGATCTTTGTATCGATTTAAGCGTAATAATGGCAATGTCGTGGCGTTTCCCTTTTACTCTTTCTTTCTTCTCTTTTTGTTTTTTGACTTTCGTTAAATATCATCTTTGATAATCTTCCCATTTTCAGTTACGTGAAGGTAGCAAAGAAGAATCGATACGACAAATTTTCTTTCACCTCGTTTCTCTATTGCGGTTTTTCTTTATCCTTTATCAAGTCTCATTTTATACGCGAAGTAAGGCTAAGAAAACAATGCGCAATTCTTTTTTATTTTTCTTTTTTAACTTTGTTTTTCGGTAAGGCACCCCCAGTGCAGAGTATATTCACGGAAGTATTTAGCAATACAAACTAGTGACTAGATCATCTTTAAGTCACGCGAGAAAGAGCGACAAAGACAGACAAAGATAGATAGACAGATAGATAGATAGATAGATAGATAGATAGATAGATAGATAGATAGATAGATAGATAGATAGATAGATAGATAGATAGATAGATAGATAGATAGATAGATAGATAGATAGATAGATAGATAGATAGATAGATAGATAGATAGATAGATAGATAGATAGATAGATAGATAGATAGATAGATAGATAGATAGATAGATAGATAGATAGATAGATAGATAGATAGATAGATAGATAGATAGATAGATAGATAGATAGATAGATAGATAGATAGATAGATAGATAGATAGATAGATAGATAGATAGATAGATAGATAGATAGATAGATAGATAGATAGATAGATAGATAGATAGATAGATAGATAGATAGATAGATAGATAGATAGATAGATAGATAGATAGATAGATAGATAGATAGATAGATAGATAGATAGATAGATAGATAGATAGATAGATAGATAGATAGATAGATAGATAGATAGATAGATAGATAGATAGATAGATAGATAGATAGATAGATAGATAGATAGATAGATAGATAGATAGATAGATAGATAGATAGATAGATAGATAGATAGATAGATAGATAGATAGATAGATAGATAGATAGATAGATAGATAGATAGATAGATAGATAGATAGATAGATAGATAGATAGATAGATAGATAGATAGATAGATAGATAGATAGATAGATAGATAGATAGATAGATAGATAGATAGATAGATAGATAGATAGATAGATAGATAGATAGATAGATAGATAGATAGATAGATAGATAGATAGATAGATAGATAGATAGATAGATAGATAGATAGATAGATAGATAGATAGATAGATAGATAGATAGATAGATAGATAGATAGATAGATAGATAGATAGATAGATAGATAGATAGATAGATAGATAGATAGATAGATAGATAGATAGATAGATAGATAGATAGATAGATAGATAGATAGATAGATAGATAGATAGATAGATAGATAGATAGATAGATAGATAGATAGATAGATAGATAGATAGGTAGATAGATAGATGGATAGATAGATAGATAGATAGATAGATAGAGAGGAAGAGATAAATAGATAGAGAAAAGGTGAAACAGATAAGTAGATAGGTAGTCAGCAGATCAACAGACATACAAGCACACATAGATCCAGACAATAGCAGACACCTTGACAGTTAGACAGAACACTACATACATACATATGTACATACATACATAAATAAATACATACATTTGCACGTACATATATCCATGTACGTAAACACATAAGCAAGGAGATAGGTAGGTATGTACCTAGGTGTATGCAGCTGGGTAAAGAGCGGAACCAAAAGGCAGAGAAACAAAGAGATCGATAGAGAAGAGAAGAGAAGAGAAGAGAGAAGAGAAGAGAAGAGAGAAGAGAAGAGAAGAGAGAAGAGAAGAGAGAAGAGAAGAGAGAAGAGAAGAGAGAAGAGAAGAGAGAAGACGAGAGAGAAGAGAAGAGAGAAGAGGAGAGAGAAGAGAAGAGAGAAGAGAAGAGAGTAGAGAAGAGAAGAGAAGAGAAGAGAAGAGAGAAGAGAGAAGAGAAGAGAAGAGAAGAGAGAAGAGAAGAGAAGAGAAGAGAAGAGAAGAGAGAAGAGAAGAGGAGAGGAGAGGAGAGAAGAGAAGAGAAGAGAGAAGAGAAGAGAGAAGAGAAGAGAGAAGAGAAGAGAGAAGAGAAGAGAGAAGAGAAGAGAGAAGAGAAGAGAGAAGAGAAGAGAGAAGAGAAGAGAGAAGAGAAGAGAGAAGAGAAGAGAAGAGGAGAGAAGAGGAGAGAAGAGGAGAGAAGAGGAGAGAAGAGGAAAGAAGAGGAGAGAAGAGGAGAGAAGAGGAGAGAAGAGAAGAGAAGAGAAGAGAAGAGAAGAGAAGAGAAGAGAAGAGAGAGAAGAGAAGAGAGAGAGAGAGGGGGGGAGGGAGGAGGGGGTCAGTAGCTGAAATATAAAGAGAAGGAAAATGAAAAGGTTAAAGGAAGAATAGCATAGTGAGTATTGTGCGAGACAAAAATAGAGTGGAAACGGAAAGTATGAGAGACGATAGAGATAGCAGTAAAAAAATGACGCGAAAAGAAGCGGATGAACGATGACAAACAAAAAGGTGGACAGACATCGAAGAGAGCGGAGAAGAGTCAAGGGAAGAAAATCGCAAGTGACCAACGGCGGCATGGAATTTCAACGAAAAGAAAAAGAAAAATCCGTTTTCTCGGCAGATGAAACTAGTCTCGTGTTGGTACGTTCGTTTTCTTCTCTCGTTCTCTCCACTTTCTTTACAGTTTCATGCGGTGTCATTTTGTAGGGGAAAATGAAAAAGAGAAACAAAAGTACCACGTTAACGTTAAAGTACCATAAGAGAAGGGGGGGGAGGGGAGGACGAAAACGACGTAACAGAGAGTAAAACTAATAAAACTTAAAACTGAAGGTCTTTAGTGGGAGAAAGAGATAGATACGCACAGAGCGTGAGAAATAAGGGCAGAAAAAATGAAGAAAAATGTAAGTAACAACAAAACAGAGGACAGGCAGTGGTGCGTTACTTTGGTATCTTATAATTGGTGTTTCGCACGGATCAACTGAGGTGTCCGCGACGACGTTTCGTGGGCAGAAGGTCATCATCATCATTTCTATCTTTTTTTTCTTTTTTCCTTACTTTTTCCTCCTTTTCCAGATCGAACGTCATTGACTGATGTGCAATTCAATCGTCCGTTCTACTATTATCGATCGCCGGTAACAAAGCACAAAGAGAGAAAATGACGAGGACCTAACTCACGTCATGATTAATTTTGTTTTGTTTGACTAGGTTAGGAATATGATCCCCTTCTTCCTTTCTCGTCCAAGAGGATCAACGCACACGGTTTTCGTTTTTTTTTTTCCTTTTTTCCGAACGCGCTGGCCACGAGAAAAACAAGGATGAGGATGATATTTTTACGTGTTTACACATCGTCAGAAAGGATAGAACGTAACACACAGCTTGATGACAGTCGTCGTCGTCATGGCTGCTG